GCAGCGGCGCCAAGGCCCGCGGCGAAGCCCGAGCCCGCGGGACCGCCAGCGGCCCGCGCCCCCAAAACCCGCGGGTCCAGCAGCAGCTCAAGCTCCAGCTCGAGCAGCTCGAGTAGCAGCTCGAGCAGCGCCGCGGGGCCAGCGCCCGCGGCGCCTTCGCCAGCACCACTGGCGCAGCCAACGGCGGCGGCGGCGGAGGCGCCGGCGGCGCCAGCGGCGGCGGCGACGGGAAGCACCGGCGAGGCGGCTGCCGCGATGCTCTCAGCAGCCCTGGCGGTGGACACCGGCCCCGCCCTCTGCCACCAGCAGGAGCGCCTCGAGGCTGCCCTGCGGGAGGGGCCGCCTCTCGGGGCGGCGAACGGGGGCGCCAGGACCTACCACTCTGCCTACCAGCAGTTGTGGAACGCAGCTCTGAGAGGCATAGCGGGGGAATGAAAGTGACACGAAACGAGAGCAGTTGCTACGCGGACTCCCAGCGCGCACAGTAGCGCTTTCTTCGACGCTAGCAGGTCCGCCTGCTGGCGGCGGAGCAATGTTCGCGCTGCTGTGAACGATGCGGCGCCCGCGGTGTCCGCGGCGAACTGCTTTTTTTCCGGCTCCCTTCCTGCAGGCAGCAAGAGGCTGGCTGAGCTGGAGCTGAACGGGGAAAAGGCGAGGCACAAGACGGCGCTCTTTGTGAAGGAGGAGGAGCTCCGCAGGGAACGCGAAAAGACGGAGGCTGCCCAGGCTGCCCTGCGGCAGGCGGAGGAGCGCGGGTCGCGCGAACACACATTCCACCCCGCGGGCATGCAAATTAGTGAGAATATGTTTCGCCCCCCCTCTCCCCAGAACAAGCTCAACCACGACGTCGGCTACCAGAAGGGGCTGCTGCAGGCGGGGCGGGGCCAGGCTGCCCGCGCGAAGGCAGCTGCCGCGGCGCGCAGGGAGGCCGAGCAGAAGGCCAAGACCGCGGGCCAGAACCACGGCCAGGGAGGCGCAAGCCCGGGCAAGGGCACGGACCCAGACGGGGGCCAGAGGGGCAAGGGCCCCGGCAAGGGCAACGGGCAGGCGGCTGCCTAGAAGAGGTCCGTCTGTGGTAACAATCGCTCGTCCCTCGCTTTCGCTCTCCGCCGCCTCAGTTCTCAGTGGTTCTCAGTCCACCTAGTGGCTGGGTTCTGCAGGGTTCTCTTGGGTTCCCTCTTTGGTCGGTGTGTCAAAAGGGGAGAATGCATTCGAATTTGGAAATTATGTTTTCGGTTGATATTTTTGAATATTTTTGGGTTATCCTGGGGGTTCTCTGCGGTTCTCAGTCCACCTAGTGGCTGGGCTCTGCAGGGTTCTCTTGGGGTCCCTCTTTTGTCGGTGTGTCAAAAAGGAGGAATGCTGTCGATTTTTAAAATTATGTGTTCGTTCAATATTGTTGTTTATTTCTGGGTTCTCCTGGGGGTTCTCTGTGGTTCTCAGTCCACCTAGTGGCTGGGTTCTGCAGGGTTCTCCTGGGGTCCCTCTTTTGTCGGTGTGTCAAAAGGGGGGAATGCTGTCGATTTCGAAAAAACATGTTCACGGGGGGTTCTCTGTGGTTCTCAGTCCACCTAGTGGCTGGGTTCTGCAGGGTTCTCTTCGGGTCCCTCTTTTGTCGGTGTGTCAAAAGGGGGAAATGCTCTCGACTTTAGAAATTACGTCTTCGTTCTATAGTTTGTTCATTTCTGGGTTCTCGGGGGGGTTCTCTGTGGTTCTCAGTCCACCTAGTGGCTGGTTTCTGCAGGGTTCTCTTGGGGCCCCTCTTTTGTCGGTGTGTCAAAAGGGCGGAATGCTGCCGATTTTGAAAATTATGTGTCCGTTCCATATTTGTTTATTTCTGGGTTCCCCCGGGGGCTCTCAGCGGTTCTCAATCCACCTAGTGGCTGGGCTCTGCAGGGTTCTCTTGGGGTCCCTCTTTTGTCGGTGTGTCAAAAGGGGGAAACGCTGCCGATGTTGGAAATTATGTTTTCGGTTCATATTTTTGTTTATTTCTGGGTTCTCCTGGGGGTTCTCTGTGGTTCTCAGTCCACCTCGTGGCTGGGTTCTGCAGGGTTCTCTTGGGGTCCCTCTTTTGTCGGTGTGTCTAAAGGGCGGCATTGAAAGCTGGCTGTACTGTGTCAAAAAGAGAAATTCTTTGTATTTTCCGCCGTTTTTTTTACCGCCGCCCCGAGAGAGCTTCTTGAGACTCCTAAAGCGGGGGGGGGATTATGTGTATTTGTTTGGCTATTTTTGGGCTGGGCCGGGCGGTTCCAAACGGGCCTCGTGGGCCACAGGGCGCAATTCATTGTTTTCAGCGTGCTTTGTTTAATCACACGTTCAAACAATTTTCGAGTAATTCACTGTCGCCTTTGCTCCCTCTGTCCCCTTTTGTCCCCTTTTGTCCCCTTTGCTCCCTTTGTCCCCTTTGTTCCCTTTTGTCCCCTTTGCTTCTTTGTCCCCTTTCGTCCCCTTTGCTCCCTCTGTCCCCGTTGTCCCCTTTTGTCCCCTTTGCTTCCTCTGTCCCATCTATCTTCTTTTATCCCCTTTTGTCCCCTTTGCCCCCTCTGGCCCCTTTGTTTTTTCCGCTTTGCCCTCCTCTGTCCATTTTTATTCCCTTTTGTCACCCTTTTGTTCCCTCTGTCCCCGTTGTCCCCTTGTGTCCCCATTTGCTTCCTCTGTCCCATCTATCTTCTTTTGTCCCTTTTTGTCCCCTTTGCCCCCTCTGGCCCCTTTGGTTTTTTCCGCTTTGCTCCCCTCTGTCCATGTTTATTCCCTTTTGTTCCCCTTTTGTTCCCTTTGCACCCTCTGTTCCCTTTGTCCCCTTTTGTTCCCCGTTTGTCCCCCTTGCTCCCTCTGTCCCCTTTGCCTCCTTTTGCCCCCACTTGTCCCCATTGCTCCCTCTGTCCTCTTTGTCCCCTTTTGTCCCCTTGTGTCCCCTTTGCTCCCTCTGTCCACTTTGTCCCCTTTTGTCCCCTTTTGTCCCCTTTGCTCCCTCTGTCCCTTTTGTCCCCTTTTGTCCCCTTTGCTTCCTCTGTCCCCCTTGTCCTCTTTTGTCCCCTTTGCTCCCTCTGTCCCCTTTATCTCATTTTGTCCCCTTTTGTCCCCTTTGCTCATTCTGTCCCCTGTGTCCCCTTTTGTCCTCTTTGCTCCTCTTCGCTCACTCTGTCCCCTTTGTCCCCTTTTCTTCCCCTTTTGTCCCCTTTGCTCCCTCCGTCCCCCTTGTCCCTTTTTGTCCCCCTTTTTGTCCCCTTGTCTCCCTCTGTCCCCTTGTGTATCATTTTGTCCCCTTTTGTCCCCTTTGCTCCCTCTGTCCCCTTTGTGCCCTTTTGTCCCCTTTGCTCCCTCTGTCCCCTTTGTCCCCTTTTGTCCCCTTTGCTCCCTCTGTCCCCTTTATATCCTTTTATCCCATTTTGTCCCCTTTGCTCCTTCTGTCTCCTTTGCGCCTTGACGGAGTCTTTTGAGGCGGCCCTCTCGGATCAGTTAACGGGAACATCATTTTTTGGGGCTCCGCGTGGCCCTCTTGGCCCAGCTGTCAGCTTGAGCCTGCCCTCTTGGCCTTTTGAAGCGGCCCTCTTGGTGCATCCTTTAGCCGTGGCGCGGAGCAGCCATGAGGGGTGAAGATTCGTACAGAAAAAGTTCGACTTGTGTCCTTTTGTCCCCTTGTGTCCCCTCTGTCCCCTCTGTCCCCTTTGTCCCTTTTTGTCTCTTTTGTCCCCTTTGCTCTCTCTGTCCCCTTTTGTCCCCTTGTGTCCCCTTGTGTCCACTTTGCTCCTTCTGCCCCCTTTGTCCCTGTTTGTTCCCATTTGTCCCCATTACTCCCTCTGTCCCCTTTGTCCCCTGTTGTCTCTTTTTGCCCCCCCTTTGTCCCCATTTTGCCCCCTCTGCTCCCTCTGTTCCCCTTTTGTCCCCTTTTGTCCCCCTTGCACGGGGCGTCGCAGGCCCCATTGCGAGAGAAAAAGGCGAAGTGTGTCCAGCGAGGGTTTCTGAGCTGTGGCGTTTCCCGCATATTGTCGGGCCAACTAGATTGCTAGCGGGGGCCCCTGGCCCAGGGCACCCGGGTTGTATGATCGTAGGCACGGAGGTGCACACAAGCGACAATGTGATCATAGGCGATAGGGCGCTCGTACGTTTTGCGGTGCTCTCAGGCTTTGGCCGATGCTTCTAACAGAAGTACCTCCTCCTCCTCCTACCCCGTCCTCCTCCTAATCCTCCTCCTTGGAAGAAAAACTGTGCAATTTGTTGGGTCTCGTTTGAGCCGCGCACCCGCAGCAGGTAGCGCTACTGTTGAGGGAATGAATTAAGCAACACTTTTATGAATCTCACTCGGACCGTCTTGTGGCAGCCACAACTTGAACAAGAAGCAGAGCAAAACCATAACCAGAGACAGAACCATAACCAGAGCCTGAACCCGAGCACGAACCAGAACGAGACCCATATCCAGAGCCAGAACCGCAGCCGGAACCACAACCAGAGCCGGAACGAAAACCAGAGCCAGAACCACAGCCGGAACCCGAACCAGAGCCAAAACCATAACCACAGCCAGAACCATACCCAGAACCAGACACCGAGCTTCACCCGCAGCCAAAGCCAGAACCAGCACCAGAGCCGCGGCCAGAATGGTACCCAGAGCCAGAGCCAGAGGTAGGCCGCCGCCAGAACCACAACCATAACCACAACCAGATCCGAAACCGGAGCCACAGCCAGAACCATAATCATATCCAGAACGGTAACCAGAGCCAGAACGAGGGCCAGAACCATAACCAAAGCCACAGCTACAACCAGAGCCATAACCATAATCATATTCGTAAACCGAGCCAGCGCCTGACCTAGGCCACAGTCAGGCCTAGGGCCAGACCCACAGTTAGAACGAAAGCCAAAGCCAGAACCACAGCCATAACCAGAATCGCAACCATAATTGCGAATGTTCTCGGGGCCGCGCTCGCAGAGTTTGGCCCGAGCATTTCGGTGAGCCTGCCGCTACCGGCGAACGTGCAAGTGATTCTTCTCCAGTGACTTGAGAGATGCCCGTGCTCGGCTCCGCTGTGAAGCCCCAGTGCCGCACGGAGATGCGGGCCTCATGGGCCATCGTGGACGGTGCATTCGAGTCCGCGGTCATACTGGGGCCGCGCGCGGCGCATGTGCTTTTGCGCCACAGTGCCGGGGCATCCCACCATGAGTTCCCGTACGCCCTCAGCGTCATGGCGGGGCTGGTGGCGTGCACGAACGGTGCCAAAGTCGCTGTCTTCCCCGGCCCCGCGAGTCCTTTGATGCTCTCCGTGATCAATGTCAACTACCCGCAGACTCGGAAGTCTTCCACGCACAGCTCCATGCATGAAGTGTCTACGGAGATCGACGGGCAGAGCAAGGACACGGCCAAGGGCATCGCGCGCGACTGGCTCCACGCAGAGCAAGGGGCGCTCGGGGGGGGGACCTGCGGGACCGCCGCCCGTGCAGGTCAATTCGGCGACCTTGGCTTTCTTCACGAACGCGGCGTTCTTCCAGCGCTGCGCGGGAGATTGGGGGCAAGTACGGAATGGTACCGGACTCGGATGCCCGGGCCGAGTGCACTTTGGCACTCTCATCAACGTGGACGAGGCTTACAAGATGCTTCGAATGATTGGCCTCGTGAGCGCTGGTGGCGCGGCAAGCAAGGGCGGCGACGCTCTGGATGTCACAGACGCGGCCAGCGAGTTCAACCGCCTCCTGCAGACTGGCACTGCGAGCTACACAACGAAGAACGCAGGTGCGCACGGCGAGGCGGCCGCGCCAACCATCAGTATGGGCGTCCTCGGGAACGGGCACCCCTCAGTCATCATTCCTATGGAGAGGGGCGACATTGGGTCCAACCACGTCGCAGCGAAAGAGCGATTGCTCTTTGTCACTGGCCGTCCAGTGGAGCCGCACACCGCGGTGCCCGCCCGGCTGCAAGTTCGGACCGGGGAGGTTTTCAAGCCGTGGGTGTGGCCGAAGTTCCCTGGGCTTCCGATCCTCGTTCTTTTCGAGGATCCACAATCGTGATCGTGGATCCACGATCGTGATCGTGGATCTTGAAATCCCCGATCGTAGATCGTGGATCCACGATCGTGATCGAGGATCCACGATCGTGATCGCGGATCCTGATATCCCCGATCGTAGATCGTGGATCCACGATCGTGATCGGGGATCCACGATCGCGATCGAGGATCCACGATCGTGGTCGATGTCCCACGATCGTGAATCCTCGACAAAGAACGTGGATCGGACCCCCAGGGCATGTACATATACATCGCACACGTGCACGTGGATCCACGCACGTACATGTATGGATGTACATATACAAACCTTATCTGGTGTATTAATGTACATCCATACGCGTACGTGCTTGGATCACGCGCACGTGTGTGATGTATATGTACGTATATACATAGGCATGTGTGTGTGTGTGTGCGCGCAACTCCTCACAGAACACGCACATCACACATACACGGGCATACGTTGCAAGCGTTTGGCTAAACAACACATGGGTGACGGAGCGTGCGTGCGTATTCAAGGTGAATGCAAGATCGTCCTTACAGGTGTCTGATCCCCCCACCCCAAAAAACCTCGGAGGCTCGGGGGGGGGGCGGGATCAATCAAATGTAATGGCGATCCTGTATTATGCGTGAATACGCACGCACGCTCCGTCACCGATGTGTTGTTCACCCCAAAACTTGCACGATATGTCCGTGTATGCGTGATGTGTGTGTCTGTGTGTGTTATGTGAGGAGTTGCGCGCGAGCGCGTTGCGCGCGCGCGTTGTGAATTTTATGTTCGGCGTGGAATATGCGTGGGGTCTACAGGTACGTTGTTTTGAGCGCTGTGTTTATGCTACGCGGGTAATGCGACGACTCACGATTACAACCGCAGAACTTGATAAACGAACGAGGAAAAGAAGCATATGATAATTGCAGTACACAAGTTTACGAAGCTCGATCGATACCGTAAAGGGTGTCATTCGGAAACCAACTGCAAAATCGGAAAATGAAGGCTTGGAAGCCTGAAGATTTGAAGGTTCATTTTTTTAGATACGAACGCTATCGCGACATGTTTTCGCAATCTAAAAACAAGCGTTTGATGACAATTGCGTCTAAATCAAAAACGCAAACAGAAGACAAACAGAATAATGAACTGATAACGCAACAAACCACAAACCCAGCCTTTTGGGTTGTGCGCTGAGGGGCCCCACCTTGCCTTCCCCCTGGGCCCCGCCTTGGGTGCCTGCCTTGGGTACCCAGTTGGACCTCTGGGCTCCCGCCCCGAAAGGCGATCTCCCCTTGAGCCTCTTGTGGGTTCCCTGCGTCGTCGTCATCGTTATTGTCATCCGCCGTCGACGCTTAAAGCATCCACCGTCGTCACATTGGGGCCCCGCCTTGGCTTCCCCTTGGGTGCCTGCCTTGGGTGCCCAGTTGGACCTCTGGGCCCCCGCCCCGAAAGGCGACCTCCCTTGGGGCCTCTCCTTGGGCCACCCTTTCATCGTCGTCATCGTCGTTTTCTCAACATCGCCGCCGTCGCCGCCGTAGCCATTTGGGCACAGTGGCAATGATGTTGGCGATTCCACTATTCATTCATTTTTCTTTCCATATCCTACATATGGCTTCCAGGCATCCTGCTGCGTGGGCGCAACCGGAGGAAGCGAACCAGACAGCGGATGACATTCTGGTGGAATCCCTCGAACCTGACTTCGGAGATATATTGTTCCGCGGTGGGTTCAGATACAGCAGCACAGACATGAAAATCGGTGTCGACGTGGACGCCCTGGTAACCTTCTCTGGAACGCTGAAACGCTTGATGCAGGTAGACCCGAGAGGAGGGTACTTCCTTCAGTCCGACGTGGAGCTCGCCATCAAGAGGTGCGCCATTAAGGAGGCCCACTCCACGATGTGGGATGGGTGGTGCAAACTCAACGAGTACACCCATGAGGAGGGGTACAAGAATAGCGCATACGTGGTCAGGGTCATGCTGTCCCACGTTCGCAACAAGGCCGACGACTTCAACAAGCTGGGGGCGGGCGGGCAGGCGAAGGCTCGCGAGTCGTCTCACCCACAGGAGCTACGTGACATTTACAACGTCATCGACGTTGACAGGGGCGGCTTCAGTGAGAAAGACTCGCCCGCACCCGCTGCCAGCTTTCAGGGCAGCGCAGGACGCCTCGAGCGAGGAGGAAGTCGTCCCTGTCTTGAAACGGTTCGACGTCAGCACTGGGGAGTCCTACTTGGTAATGTCAGACGGGTCCCGCGAGATGGCCAAGTTCAAGTGCGGAGAGCACGGGCGACTGGTCGCCACGTGGCCTGAGTACAACATGGAGTTGCAACTTGAACTACCAAATTCTGCTCTGAAAGATGATGGGGCGATCGACTACACGCCAGCAGACCCGCGCAAGCCGCCCAAGGCCGGCCACAAGACCAAAAAAGGAAAGCCCGCGAGTGCTCGGAAGAGGCCAGCTGGCGCAGTGGAAAACAGAGAACCGCCCACCGCTCCAAAGGCGAAGGCAAAGACAACTCCAAAGGCGAAGGCAAAGACAACTCCAACGCCGACGGCAGCTCCGACACCATCACGCATTCAAGAGAAGATCAGGCAGAACATCGACCGCATCTCCGGGGAGGCCAGGAGGGGATTGCCAGGGTTCCCTGGCAGAGACAGCAACGAACTTGCGACGTGCTACGCTGTCGCGGTTGATGGCGGCACCATCTCCCTTCGTGATCTCCACCGCTCTCCTTGCTTCTACGTGGACCGCGTGACCGAGATCCCCGAGAATTTCCCTGGGCTCGGTGACGACGCCGTCGTCGCCATGTTCGAAGGCAAGAAGTTGAACAAGAAAGGCGGGGTGCAGTTTGGTTTCGGCGACGACGCGGACTTGGCCTTCAAGGCGGCGAAACTTCTGAGGTCGATGTATCCGAACCCCGCAGCCTAGACCCCAGCGCGCACCTGGGTGCCACCCCGTGCAAAAAAAGAGCTGACAACATCATCATCACCAGCATTACCACCGGCAACCTACTACCTTCGGGGGGGGCTACGTTCGAAAATCCAAACCAGAACTTTTGGCAACAGTTCTGGTTTGGATTTTGCTTCGGGAAAATATTTACACCCCCTCCTTGCCTTCCCCCTGGGCCTCGCCTTGGGCGCCCGCCTTTGGTGCCCAGTTGGACCTCTGGGCTCCCGCCCCGAAAGGCGATCTCCCCTTGGGCCTCTTGTGGGTTCCCTGCGTCGTCGTCATCGTTATCGTCGTCCGCCATCGTCGACGCTTCAAGCATCCACCATCGTCACACTGGGGCCCAGCCTTGGCTTCCCCTTGGCTGCTCGCCTTGGGTGCCCAGTTGGACCTTTGGGCTCCCGCCCCGAAAGGCGACCTCTTGTTGGGCCTCTCCTTTTGGGTTGCCTGCGTCGTCGTCATCGTTATCATCATCCGCCATGGTCAACGATTAAAGCATCCACCATCGTCACATTGGGTTGGACCTCTGGGCCCCCGCCCCGAAATGCGACCTCCTGGGGGACCAAGGGGGGGCCCAGGGGAACCAAGGGGACCAAGGAGACCAAGGGGGTCCGAGGAGTGGTACCAGAGGGGGCCAAGGGGTACCAAGGGGCACCCTTGGCCATCCTCGGGCACCCGTCGCCATCAATATTACGCGTAGCCGTCTTGGCTCAAACGATGACTTGCGCGATCTGTTTGGAGATTGTATCGGAGCAGGGGTTCACGCTACCGTGCTCTCACGCGTTTCACGTTCACTGCATCGCTGAGTGCATTGAGGGCGATGGCTCCATCATATGCCCTGTCTGTCGGGCTGTGCATCTGAGCATTCGGGAGAACGTCGACGCGTCGGTGGCAGCAGCGACTGGCCCATCTCCGTGGGACGAGAGGCCAGCGATCGACAACGCGGCCGCAGACATCATGAACTACATGCCGCCCGTGCCAGCTCACGTCGTGATGCTGCATTGCCCGCGCGTCATCATGGCCAACGGTGAGTTCAGGAACACGTCAGACAGGAGGATGGAGTGGAGTCCTGTTCGGGTTCGCGGCTCCGAGTTTCGAGGGCAGTGGTTGTGCCTGCAGTGCGGCTTCACCGTTACCGACACGGACGTCAACAACATTGCAGTTGAGCGCTTGCCCATCTGCCCCATGCATGGCCATCGAGTATACGTGCTCGACCACTTGGAGAACACGTCCTTCTACAGCTGCGCTTCCGCCGCTCACGACGACCAAGCCGACCCTGCCGTGTTCGAGTGCCCATTCGACTATGCCACTCAGCACCCGTTCGTCTTGCAGCCAGCCCCCGCGCCGATAGAGGTGATACAGCAAGACCCCGTGCCGATAGAGGTGACCGATGAGGAAGAAGATGCCATGTCGCAGGACAGCCTCATTACGGTGCCAGACCCTGGAGAAGAAGATGAAGATGTCGCTCGGCTTCGTAGTCTCATGGAAGGCTCCTGGGAGCCCGACAGCCCAGCCTCGAGCATTTTCGAATATAGCGTAGCACGGCTAGTAGAGATATTTTGCAGCTCTTGAGTCTGGGGCACAGCCCTGGGGATTGCATGCTAAGCTTGAGTCGCGCCGTCGCAGTTGAAAACAGACCCCGTCATCATCTTAGCGCTAACATGTTTCAAAAGCGATTGAAACATGTTGGGTTGTGACAAAAACTGAGCCCGTCATCGTCGAACTGCATCGTTTGAGCTCCAACGAGGGGGAGATTGGTAAAGGTGTCGCTGATCCCTGAAACCACCAGAGATCTGGGACTAGCGAAACTGGGCTAACAAAAAACTAAACTGATCATCCAGGACAATACCCATCAGCAACAACCAAAGAGACCCACGGGGCAGGGAGGGCGGGGCTCCAAAATCCAAACCGGCACCGATCAGACCCACCAGGCTGGACAGATGCGCACCCGCGCGCCCACCGAGGATTCCCATATCTAACACATATCTGTCAGGGG